CATATTTTTTTAAAGCGTCCGTACACGGCACCCAGGCATCCACGGGGGATGAAATTAAAACGGGAGAGTCGCATATGGTATAGGCACATATCCCCAAAGTTTCAGTCTTCTAGATTTTCTGGTTCTCGAATTGAAAGTGGGTGACAAAAAGTGCAAACACACAGACACATACAGACAGCCTCTTCCCAATATGCGTTTTTGCAATTTTCATATATGCAAAAACGCATAAAAAAATCCACGAAAATACGTCAGTGAGGCAAAAATCTAGGGCTCCGTTCGACGAGTTTGCTGAATATACTAATAAAAAATGCCTTACGATCGCTTCTTCGGTCTGAGCTCCATCATCTGGAGAATCCCAGACATTATAATCGCTCTGTTCGTCCTCACTTTCAACTTTGCTGCTGCTACTGCTGCTTCCGCTGCTGCTGCTTCCACTGCTGCTGCTACCGCTGCTGCTGCTGCTTGCTGCAGCCGAAGCTTCGTCTTCACTTGTCGTACTGCTTTCCTCTTCATCCTCATCCTCCTCCTCCTCATCGCTACTGTTTTCCACATCATCCACTCGTACCGCATCACCGGGTTCCGCCATCAGTTAGTAGTCACGTAAGAAGAATATTGAATTTTCAAACTTCAAACTGCAATTACATCAATTAGAATCAGCGAAATTTCTAAAGAAAACTTTTGCGATTTTTGGCTCGTTTTCGAATTTCTCAAGAAAATTGCCTTAGTTCTCGTTTATGCCACCACAGATCCACGAAAGTCGGCCATATTTTTGTACTTTTCCATAAACGTATGAAACTAATTAAATATCGATTGGCCCGAAACTTAGCATACAAGCACCCGTCTTACACGAACACAGCAAAAGACCTTTTGCTCCCCTTGGATTCGCCGATGAATTTGGATTTTTTTACCCCTACTTTTTCGAAAAAGCCTCAGAATTACCACTTTCTAAGAGAAATATTCAACGAAAAAATTTCGACTACGCTAGGGCAATTTTCGAACTGGGAAGAATTTGGACTGCACCACCCCTCGGCCTAGTGATTCAGAAAAGCGGTGAAGGGAATTCTGGCAAAGTATAAAATAGCGATTTTCAAATTCTACTGAGTTACAGGGCCAAAGAAAGTACGATGAAGGAAAACCGCGAAAAAAAACTGTTTAATTTGCAAATCTCAGGTAATAATTCGATTTGAATTTAGTCAAATAAAATTAAAATGTAAATAATTAACAATTAAAACATGCAGCCTGGAAATCCCTGATACACTTAATATCCCACAAATCTTATTTCTTATTATGGAGTAATTTATGCTATAGCTTTTTTTTGCTGACGAGATTTAGTTGCGGAGTAAGTTCAAACGTATGCGACTTAATGGACCGAGACGTCTTGATCTCAACTAAACTATTAATCTTCCATACCAGTAAATGTTTCGAAATTAGCTGTTAATTAACTTATATACTTCACAATCAGTTCACAACTACTTGAACAGCATACACAATTATGATTTAACTCAATAATTGAAAATTTTTCGTTAAATACTTCTCTAAATTTCAAGCCTAGAAGTTAGGATCGCCAGCAAGCTGACCATCAAGCGATGCAGTGCTGGTCAAAGAAATAGGAAATTTGCCAATTTCACAGCTGATCCAAAACTGATCCACGCATATTCCGTAATGATTCTACTCTTTTTCTCCGAACCAAACTTGTTTTGCGTTATTTTGGTGTTCTTGGTAAATAATGGTGCTTCTGAGAATCTCTATACATGTCTGTCCTATGGTAGACTTCTAGCAGCATATGAACTGTTGGGAAAAAAGAATCACAGAGACCACTAGTAGGAGCAAATCCCCCCTCCCTCCCTCTCCCTCCTCCGCCCCCAACTCCCCAAAAAACGACGAAAAAGACCAAGAAAAATCAATGCCAAGACCAAGAGCAATCTAATAACCATGCAACACAATTTTGACCATTTATAGAAAAATAAGCAGCCGCCACCGCCCCACC